ATATTGGTGATCTACAAATATCCTTTATTTCTAGTGGCTATGTTTAATAGACACAAAGTAAAACAGAGAATTACTGAGCACTGTACTCGTCATTCGGTTGGTGTACAAAAATTCCACCTACTCTACAATTGATGTAAGTTGTTAACGATCAACCGAAACTTCTGAATTGATGTAGAGATATTATTGGACACTAACTCTGCAGGGTTGATGAAATTTCGAAAATCCACTTATTTCCCTTGACATTTTGATTTCACTCAATATTAGATGTGACTGATGTTTGGTATGAATTCCATTATGATGATTGACATGCTACTTCTATAGATTTTTGAAATATACTTTAGAATTTTTCATTCCTAATCTGAACTATGAGCAGTATTACTGCTGTGGCTTTTCTGCCTTCTGCAGGTTGCTGACAGTGTCACACAAGCACGACCAAACCTAAACGTTTGCTCCATAATGATGCATGCAGTCTTCTGTCTAGCCTTTTACTTTGTCTATTTTATCTAATAGTTGGGTCAATTTATGTGGCCTCCATCTCAGAAGTTGCTACTCCACATATTTAAAGTTACTATTGATTTATATGAACTCCAGTCAGTGGGAGGGTGGTCAGAGAGCAAAAAGCAACAGGGTATGTTTCTATCTCTTTGTATCATTACTGTCTCATTTACTCGGACAATGCACAAACGCCTGTGTATCAAAACCCCGTTTAGAAAGGTCTGGTCGAATGCCAAATCTAATGTTTTAGTAACACCGGGGAGATCACGATAAAAGTCAATCAAGGCTTCACATACACAGAAGGCAAATAATGCTTAATCTCTATATTGACGGAGATTAAACGAATGACTAAACTTGAATCCTGGTTACTTGCTTTGAAAACATAACGTACATCGGAAGATCAAAATCTCAGACTCACAGTTACGGAACCTATTGTCATATTCGACATATTTGAAAATTAAATGCTCCAACATACTGTTTAGGGCTCAGTTTCAGATGATCAGGAATAAAATTTTGTGAACTTAAGTGGTTAGCATTGCTGATGGGTAGTGATAAATTCAGAGAAGGGTTAATAGTTTGAATAGAAGAAACGATTGATCTGATAGTAAGCAAAAGATTTTCGAGTGCGTTAGAGGATATTTTTTCATGAGAAACCTGGAAAAGGAACTGGACTAGTAGTGGTCTTGGTGACCTGGGAGCATGATTGCTGAATATGAACGAGGATTATTTGGAACTGGTGGCAATACAACCTGATTTCTAGAGGTTACAGGTTTGTTGGCTCCATATTTTCAAAGAAGCTTCCCAAGTACTTCTTTGCATTGAGAAAAAAAGGTAGATGTTGGTTATCGGAGGGAAACATGTGACTGCAGTCATATAGTTACCAGTCCACCATCTGTCTGGGAACTGAAGTTTCAGTCTTATCATTATCCAGTCGACCTGCTCCATATGGTAGGACCTTAAGTCATGAGTATTTTAGCCGAAATAGACCGACCGGGTGACCACAATTAGCAAACCCGGACATCATGTCAAAGGAGCGGCTGTATTCATTCTTTTGATTGTATATATTTGAATATTTCACTGTTGTATCCCGGAGAATTGTGAATGGTAACTTTGAAGAATATTTACGGACCAATATGATACTTATATTTCCTATTGTATAGTTGTTAAGTAACTAAACTATTCACATTCTTGTCCCTCTTATTATAAGCTTTGTTTTGACCTATGAATTATTATTATACGATTTACCATTCCTGAGTTATACCCAGTCTATTAATTACTGTTTCCCCTATTCACAGTCACATTTGGCCAAATCTTGTACAAATGCTATTTTCTATTTTATTGGTACGATGTGGTCAGTTTGTTTGGTATATAAACCCAATATGTTTGAGAATAATGATTCATATTGCAGAGGCTGTTATTGGAGTTCTGGACTTAACTGACTGGGCTAGGCAGAAAGCATGACCGATAAGTACTCAAGACTGCTCATACGGTTTCTGTGTATCATTGCTCTGATCGATAATTCGCTCTTCTATTATTAGTGGGAATCAGCACGTTCATATATCAAACAGGGCATGCACGCACTTACACTTTATAACAGTGACGTTTTCCAGTCAGGAATAGTTTTATTTTGTGCAATTTTATCTATCCAGCCCTAATTTTTACTTTCTAATATATTTCAACGCTTCGATTCATAATGGACAGAAGCCCAGTAATCAACTTTCGTATTATTTTATGCTTAAACTAATAGTTCGTTTATAATGGCAGGTTATCAATCACTTAGGGAACGACTAAATGTCTAAAATTACTGTCTATTCTTGTCAGTACTTACTAGCATTTCTGAGTTATTTTGAACTACGAAGAAGTAACGAAACACCATACTTCTTTTTTATAATTGTCTTAGATGTGAATTTGTGATAAGAACTACAAATTTCCACAAATTACCTATCTTAATTTTAAGTGACAAGGTTTAGTTAATTAAGTTGATTACAGTGGACTGAAACTGTTGTTAAACTATTGAGAAACATTTTATTAAGTTATTGAGTTTACTATGAATAATTAAAATAAAGCCGATTTTCTTTGATTTTATTCTATGTCTAATGCAAAAAAATGTTCTTATTGAACATTAGCGTCGGTTTATTGAATAGTATCAAAGTTAATTTGGTGATATGCTTAGAAACCGTCTAATAAGTGTAATTTTTTATATATGTTACATTTAGTTATAGATTTGCTAGTCTTACAAACATTATCAATATTAATACTTTATAAGATTATTAAAACCAAGTAAGATAAATATATAGAGCTTATTTATTTTGGAAATAATGTAAATAATCTACAGAAACATACGCGTACATGAACGGCAGAATCAAATGTAATTACAATACTTTTTATTTTCAAATATGGTGTAAAGTTATGAGACAGTAAATATCCATATATGTAGATATACATATGGATAATTAGTAAAATTACGACAATTAATATTTAAATGTGGTAGGTAAAAACTTAATTACTAACACTATAAAATCACACCAAATTAAATTGGGTTATATGGAGTAAAAAATACAAAATGAGAAAAGTGATTAATTCAGATTTATATGCCGCTGAATTTAATTTTTGTTTGTATTCACAAACTTTATCAATAAACTCATTTAAGTGTTACTTATAAGGCGTAACAACGATTTTGAATGGTAAATCATTTAATGAAAACTATTTCATCCTGAAATACTTATTGATCATTTAATTCCCCCCCCCCGAAAATATGGTAGAAGAATTTTAAAGAAAAAACAAATATCAGAAGGTGTATGTTTAAAGTGTAAAAATTCAAAGGAAAAATTGAATGATTTACCTTATTAGGGATGACGGATGTAAAACGGTAAATACATGAATCCAAAAAAAAGTTTGATATTTTAAAGATTAGTTGGAAAAAAAGGCAAGGAAACGGCACTCCATGCAGAGAAATGTATTTAAATCAGATTAAAATTATGTACAAATATGTTATGTACAAAATTTCTGATGCTTAATTCTATTACTGGAGAGAATACCCAGGTAAATTCATATGAATCAAATGTTGGAAATTATGAACTTTATGTGACTATGCTCTCGAAACCCCAATGAACTTGTATGCAATTAGTGAACATTAATATTGTTCTTAACAACATGAATAATACATATGAGTATGCGTTTTCGGAATAAATTCCCAGAATAATCATAAAGTCTAAAAGAGAAATATTTGTTTGTTGATTTTATTATGGAAATTAAAAATCATAAGGTGTTAGCGCTGATTTCTTTCGACCAGTATATATATATATATATATAGGCTTGTTTACTTTGAAAAAGAATAAACATGTATTTTACTTCAACTCAATTTAATTGTTTTACACATATATTATTCTTCAACGAGGTCATATTTTGACTTATTATAATGAGTTTATGCAACGTGAATATATATTTTATTTCCCTGCAATTAGAATCGATTAAAAATGTTGTTGCCTAGCATTAGTGAATTTAAGTAACAATGTAAATTGAAGTAATAGATAAATTGATAATATGAATGAGTTAACGAATATATAAAAGAATGGATAAATAAATCAATATACAAAAGGGAATATTATCCGTCACTTTTTGTTTTTGAAAATATACATACGAATGAGAATAAATAACATTGAGAATGATTATAGGTGTGGTTAAGTGTTTCTCATTGTACTATCTGATGTATTACTGATGTAGAAAAGTATTTGAGAAAACTATAAAACCTAATTTATGAGCGTTTATTTCAGTTATTATTTATATATAATTATAATGTATTGGTATATGTATTAGAGATGTTGGGTTGTGCATAATAAAAAGGTGCAAAGTAATATCTATGAAAATAAAACACATTAAGACTCTGTTATTAATAATTAGTATACAAGCACATAACAATATACATATTACACTCATTTACTCTTATGTATAAACAATAAATATTAGTACTGCACATTGTCACTAGGATTTACTTTTTTCTAAAAAAAAATTGTCAAAAAAATTAATGAATGAGAATAAACTTATCAATCATGAAGTAAGGTGAAAGAAAACAATCTTAACGGTTTATTTGATTAGTAAATCTACTTTTGTTTTTCAGGTTTTAAATGAAAATGGTTGTATGATTGTATTATGTAAAGAGAGAAATAGAGGCAAAGGAGAAAATAATGAATTACAACAATTTATATGCTTAAAACTATTATATAAAGTAATATTAATAATAAAATAATAATGATAATATGTGTCAATATTGTCATGATTAATGTCACCGTTAGTAATTTTCTATCGAACAATTAAACGAAGAAATAATAACAACAACACTGACATCTGTGATATATATATTTGATGAATTGTGTATAGTTTTAATGAGTTATTTAAATGGATGTTGTATAGGATAGTAATGGTAATGGGATTGTGAGCATTGGATTCTCTCATTTTCATAATTAAATAAACTTTGTTTTAATGATGATATTTGTATATATATTTCATATGATATAAAAGTAGATGCTTTACTTATTAGATTGTGTAATGCTGTTACTGAAGGCAATTTTCCTCTTTTTCTTGTCTCATCTCTTCGTTTATTTGTTTTTTTTTAATAATTAAAAACCTTCAATAATACAGTAATTTTCTAAACCAGCTAAAAGAATATAAACAAACCATAAGAAAAATAAAAATGAAGCTGAAATATATTTTGCAACTTTTGGACCACCCAATTCACCTCCAATAGATTTTTTACGTCTAAATAATATTAAGAAAATTGCCACTAAAGCAAATATACAATACGTAGTAACAGAGAAACCCAATGATCCTGGTTGAACTAAAAATTGTGTCCCTTTAATTGCATGATATATAGCAGCTATACTCCAGCCTAGACCAATGCCTAAGAATACATTTACAGCATTGCTACCAGTTACATTGCCAATAGATGAATCAGCGTATTGATCACCGACAGCAGCAACTTTACTTGCAAATGTATCTAAAACCATTTTAATGTGTAGAAAATGAAATAGGTTAGATTACTAAACTGTTAAATAAATCTTAACAAAAATATAAGCATTATATATCAGCGATTGTAACATATTATAATATATGGATAACCAGTAGCTATATACTTTTTCTTTTAGTCAGAAAGTTATTTTAAGTGGTTGATGAACATAGAGCGACGTTATGCATTTTTATAGTTAGCTAGCTGACTATATGGTGAAACTGAATTAGTCAGAGACAGTCTTGTTATATTGGTCACATTGTATGGGTTCGTCTATGCAAATGTATAAGAAAATTATTTCAGTTTGAGATTCTACCATGTATTCGTTTATTCATTTTATCACCTTTGTACTGTATTGATAGACACATTTACTTTGAACGCCTTCGTAATAGTAGAAAGATAAACGTGAAAGGTGAAAATATCGTACCGGAAAAAAAGTAAATTTATTACAAATCACAGTCACCAGTAGATAGAAGTACATCTAAATAAGGTAGAGACGTGAAGAAGCGTATATTTGTTAAGCGACTATTTTCACGGCCATCGTACAGTTTCCTTTATTGTTTTTTTGGGAAAAAAGCCACTAGCAATTTTTTCTGTAAAATAAGGTCTTGGAGTTATAATTAAAAGAATATATTTTCAAGTAAACTCCGAATATTTGTTTAAATTTGGCTACAATACTTTAAGGAACAATTCCAGCTTGTTGTGATCAATGTAATATTTTAATGAAAAGAGACTTTTTACATGCCAGTGATTATAAAATACCCATAATCACAATAAATGGTCTAATGATGTCCCATTATTGTTGCATAAGCTGTTGTTCATAGTTGTTACAATGTTAATAAAGAATTCATTTCTTCCATCTTTATAAAAAAACAGGTGTTTACAATTAACTTTTCTGACAGTGGTTTGACTGAAAGATTTTGACAGAAGACTGATTAGTGACATAGTTCTCATAATTGCAAAATGGTCATTCTGTAAATGACTTTTTATTCGCCTAATCTTTTGAGAATGGTAAATAGGCCTCGTTTTTACCCCGTAATTTATCGATATATGTGTGTAAACTTTGACTGGAATTCGCCTCTCTTTTTGTTATCTAACAAAATTAGAGATTCTTCCCCTTGCATGGGATTATTATAGTGAGACAATGCTTGATAAAGCACTCAACAGGGCAATAAGTCTGAATATCAATTATTTTACAGATCTTCGTAGACTGTTTATTTTTTATAGGCTTTATAATTATTGTTTGAAATTTAATCAAAAAGGTACAATTCATTTAGAAACTGTAAACCTTTGATCTAGTATGGAAAATGAACATTATAAGGCATTATACAGCGTTCTGTACTTAATTATTCTAATTATACAATAACATTACCTGGTAAACTGGTGCCAAGTGCTACAAACGTAATTGCAGTAACAGCATCAGTCAATCCAATTGAACAACCGAATGATGATGCTACATCTCCTATGACTGCCGTCAAAACACCAATAACCAATATACATACGGTGAAACAAAACCAACCTCCGCCATAATCTAATAATAAGATTAGTAAAGAAAATCATTGTTGCTACTGTATAACTAAACAACAAACAATGTGCATAAAAAAATTATATATATATATATATTAATTTATTCATTCATATCAAAGCCATATGGCAGCAACATTTCGGAGTTTTGATGATTATTTTTTAGTAAAATCAATAATTGTCAACAAATTACTCTTGTTCACAGGCTAGACATGACAAAAACTAGCATGAATTGCCCGTTATTTCTTGAATAAACATTATAATATGCTTATAGAATGTGGTGTTTAGTAAATGGTTCATAGCATAAATGCTTTACGGATCTTTTGTGATGACTGTCTACAGATGACAACAAATGCATCCTTGTTGTTATACAATAATTCTAAATAGGTCATAAGATATAAACTAGCACTGCGGATAAGAAATAAGGCTGAATGAGTTAGACGATGACACTCAGGCCACAAGACCATTTGAAGATGATGACAAAAAATTCGTAGTTTAGAAACTCTCAACGTTGTTATGTACAAGTTTTAATCACAGAAAATTAATTAGATATTAAGTGATTTCAATTTGTATTAATATTTATACTACGATTAGCTATACATGTTGGATGCCCAAAAAACTTCAGATGGTTTAAAAAAAAGCTTTAAAATTCCGGTAATTATGTAACGGAAATTTATGAACTTCCATAATTTAACGTATAGGCATTTGATATTCACGAATTTTACTGAATACATAATCTACTATCTTTTACATGTCATAGAACTAAATTTGCTAACCCATTAACCTCACCAGTTAAAGAACGTATGACTATTGTCGCTTATTAATAAAAGATTCATGAAAAATGAATAGGATAACATTACGAAATACGTATAATTGTTAGCTTAATATTTACAAAGTGATCTAATTAAGTCACCATTTCATGTTCAACCAATTAAACGGAGTTTAATTAATCTTTCCTGTAATTTACTTTCATTATGTAGATTATCATTCATATTATTTTTATTCTGTATTCAATAGTACTTGTTAATGCTGGTATGTATTAGTGTATTATTAGTTATGTTAGTTTTATTAAAAAACACACATTTATATGTAAACCAACTAAATGACGCCAAAATGTCATTTAATTATTAAAACAACTGAATAAATAAATTATTTCAACTAGAATATGGATAACCCGCATAAATTCCTAACCAACATATACGTGCCAAATTGGGTACAGATTTGTTTTTTTTAATTTTATACTTTAAAAAATTGGTGATTACATAATTGTATTTACAATCACATTCAAGTACAAAAAAAACAATATAATAACAACAATAAAAGCTTCCTTATTTATTATTTGTTATAAATAGTTAGTTTAGAAAACATTTCACTAAATCTAATGTTATTACTCGTATTACGTAATCTAGTATTATAATCTTTCTATTACGTCATCTTGGTGATTCGTTGTGTTCACATTTCCTCACGAAATTAGTACTTTAACAAAACATTTTCATATGTATATATACGATTGTACAGCTAGATAAGAAATTCGTTGAAAAAAGAGATCCCTATCGCTGAACTTCATGTTTTTAAAAATATATTGACTATCATAACAAAATACCAATTATAATTTCAATATTTTATTGACAATTGAACATTCTTCATTTTAATGATAAAAATGTTTAAACTATATTTTATATATATCTGTATTTCATATATTAGATTAAATGATTCATTGTAGATTATAGTATATTGAATGTTATCAATACAAGAAATGATCTAATATAGATTATGATCAAAAACCTTTTATTTATTTAAAAGTGTATCAAGTATTTATAATCTGTTTAGTTATCTTTTTTAATGCTCTTGTAATTTTCTTGTATAATTATAAAATGAACTAATTATCTGATACAATCTTTGTGACCTTAAGGATAGTGATCAATTGATTTTGAACAATATGAACTAGTATACATAAATATAGAAATGAATTTTATTAAAGATTAATCGATCGTGTTCTTAAATGTAATGTCATTATATAATAATGATAATGAATAAAGTAACTGATCAGATCTGACTATCAAATTTGTGTCAACTAATTGTGCTTAAAATTAACCTGTATCTTGTTTAAGTAATAAAGAAATGATAATAGAATAATTGATTGAAATTTAATTGTAATGTGTACAATGAAGTTAGGTTTAACAACATGACAAAATGTTATTTGATGAAATAACCAGAAATGCTAATGCTAATACTAAGGTGTATTTGCTTTAGTTTAAACGTCTCTTATTGAATTTCATTATTTAGCATTTTAGAATAACAGTTAAAAGGAGTGATTCATCCAATGTAATAGTTTAGTAAAGAATGAATTTGAAGGAGACCTCGTCAACTGATGCAAAAACAAACACTTGAACTTCAGGGTTTATATTTCGAAATGATTTGAGGGATTTAATATTCCCTTTAAAATTCCCACTTGAATATTTATTGATCTGAAACTTAGATACATTCATTTCAACAGTTGATTACCTAATTTATACAAGATTTCGGAAGAGATTATCTAGAAACGTACAATAAACCCTCATTACATCCAAGTTTTTTCATGATTCTTCGAAAGATTTCGATAAGTGTAAATTATTTTCACCATAAACTTGTTGGACGTTCGATGAGTGATGAGGGATAATCTTAAACCTATTTCTCATATTTAAAAAAAAAATTAATTCATTCAGTTGTAAAAAGCCATAGTTGAAAGTTGATTAACGAAGTAATATTAAAATTGACTAGAAAAAAATAAATTTTGTGGAATTCATTAGGATGGGAATGGTTTTTCTAAAATGTACCTGAATCAAAATTAAATTCTGTTTATTATGGTAAATATTTTGCGAAGATGTAAATTAATTAACTTGTTGCCTACAGATTTTGGAAAGATTGTCTGATTAAATAAATTTTTATCATCGAAAATGTTACACAATTATAGTTTAAACAACTTACTGTATTTCTATACTTTTCGATACAATGGTTGTGTAATAAAATATATAACTTCGTTAGATTAGTTTCATATATTCTCATTATAAATAAACAGCAAATTTTTTTTATTTTAGCGGAATTAAAAATGATTTTTCATTACAATTTTTATCCTTTAATTAAGCAAAAAATACGTAATTTTATCCACAAACTGGTTTTTAGGCTTAGAAGAAGAGACAAAAGGCTAATAATTTTAATCTAAATAATCAGTCATTTTAGAATTTAACTAATGTACAATTGAACTCATCCTGATTACATATCGACACTAAGTATCATAAATCGTTAGTTAAGTACAGGTGATGTACAAATTTAAATTCATTCCAGAAAATCACTTCAAAATGTAGTTAAATTACAAGGTTTGCGTTTCACAAATAACCGGGTTGGCATTGACCTTTCTTATCCTGTGAACTGATCGAAAGCACACATGTTTTAAGACTGGTATGTAAATCCGGTTCATATGCTATGTAATAAGTGACCACTTTGTTTATAAATAAAGGTATTTTAGCCATAACAAATTAAATGTATTTCAAAGCAGAGGAATCGAGTCACTGGGCTAATCCTAGTTATCTTCAACCGTTTAACTTTTTTAAAAAAACAGTCAACTAATAGTTCATTTATGAGTTTATTTCCGGTACGGTTGTTTAAACGATTATCTGAATAAAGAAAAATGTGAGTGAAATGATCGCAGATGTTTCTGGTGCATTATTTTATTTTCTGAAAACGGTAAGTGTAAAAACCCCAGATTGTGTTACATTCCAGGTAAAAAAAATCAATGCCTTATCATAATATTTAACAAACATTGAATAAATGTGTTCCATGTTATAGAAGCCAATATCCGGTTTAAAGCAACATTTTACCAGAACGACAGTATTTATAAGAAAGAAATATTGTCTTTATGATTGACTTATAGACGATTGGTGATTTATAAAATATCTCATCATCTGGCACTATAAAACATGTCTGCTTCTTCGTATCCGCAGAGCGAAAAGATAATCAAAGTTGGACTGTTTGAGTCCGTTACCTGATTGATCTGGTATTATCCTGATTTTGATTAGCTAATCTATGGATTGAATGAATAAAAACTATGTTAAGCTTGTAAACTGATAAATTTATTATAGACTCAGGCTTTATTAATTCTTAAGAACCTGAATTAAAATTGTGTTTGTAACAGTGAAATTTCAGTTACAATGTTTTTCATAAGAGAAGTTGGATTTGGTTTCATCTTAGATTAAACTCGGAGGTAGATTATTAAGTGGAAATCCCAGTATTTCTTCTCTTCTCGCTTCATAGCATAAACCAGTAATTTTTCATATACTTTCTCACATTAAATGTTTAATAACAAATCAGTCCATATATTTGTAGTAAGGAAAGACCAGTAATAAAAACATGGATAATTTACGCATGGATTTCTTGTAATTTACCATTCAAAGACACCGTGTGACAGCGCTATATAAAACATTCAATAAGAGTATAATTAAGTGATTTGATTTTTAAGTAATATACTCCTTAGGGGTGGTTATAAATTATGGTGTGCTTCCGTTTTAAGTAAGTGTATAATTTCACTGTAAACTGTAATAACATGTGCTAATGTTTCATTGTAATTACAAAATGTAATAAATAGTGCCTACCTGTTGGTGGGACAAATGCAAAGAGAACTTTCCAGAAAACGGTCAGAAAATGCATCACATAATCCATGCATGTAGGTAATTTTTCTCCTTCTTCGTCATCAACATCGCCTCCTTTTTATTCAAAAATTTGATATTTAAAACAAAAGCAAAGAAGAAGAATACAATATCATAGTTATGTTGAACAATAAAAATTTCAAGACGTATAAACAGTAATGTACAATGTTTAATTTCTTGCATTAACTGTAAAAGTTCTAAATGATCAGTGTGCTTATACATGAGGAAAGAGTTAATTAGCAATTTATTTATTGAAGGTGGCATTCAGTAGTCTCAAGAAAACATTTGTAAATAATTAGTGACGGACCGTGAATGTATCTTACATAATTAGTGAGAGAGACTATTTTATCTATCTGTAATATCGTTGAACAAAGTGTGAAAACTATTGTGTTTTAACTTTTGACAAACGAAATGTTTCAAAATCAATTTAATTCGAAATAACAAAGATTTTTTAATAGAAACAAAAAATAGAATAAGGAAAAGCATATGAAGCAATAATTTGTTTACAATTCAAATTAAATATTCATTCTCTGTATTCTACTGTTTTCCTGAAAAAAACATTATCATTACAAATAGAGCTCAAGAAATAAAACGGGTCAAGTTGATAACGAAAAAGTGTATTGAAGCATAAAATTAAACTCACTGTATAAATAAAAAATGACAATTGAATTAGTAGGCAATTGGAACATTGAAAAATGCATGAGACACAGTATTTCGTAAATGCGAGCTGTAGTTATTTTCGTTTTTATCCTGTTCATTGGTTTATATGTTGTCAAAATTAGACGTAAGTAAATCTCTTACGTTTTGTCTATAGTTTATGAGTTACAAATGTTGTGCGCAGTTTGAAAAACTCTCTGTAACATAACTGTTTAGAAATAAACGTCTTTTACTACTAACCTTAGATATATCGGTGTTAAGCCTACATAAGATGCCATTATCGCAAACACTTCATACGAGAAGTGTTATTTTATTCGGTAGAGCTTTGATATGAAAAAGTTCAAATTTCTAAATGCGGATCCACTGAAGTTTATGAACGTGGTGGATTGGTTGTTCAGAACTGACCTGAATAGGTTATAAGCTTACAATTACTATTCTCAGTTGTTCTATATAGGAAATGTGGTGCAACAGTTTAACAAAATTCAGTTTACTTCTGTAATTGAACTATAAATAATATTCTCGATGTAGCTGTTGAACAATTCAACAATCTAGTTAAATGAGGATAAAATACTATCTCATTACGCTTTATTATATGTACCTCACAAATACGCTTTCGTATGTCAGTAAGATGTGATATGCTTTCAAAGTTAACTAAAAAATGGTTTTGTGAGACTGCCTGAAGCTTAAGTGGAACCTGTGTGAATAACCCTTCAGTGGTGAATCTTTTAATTCATTTCGATCGCACCTGGTCGATGGTTGTTCTGAGAGGGGAAAATCCCAAAGATAACCGGATGTAACGATTGATGTCTACTTGACACATTTTTACATTCGCTGAGATTACTGAAGTTCTGCTGATTGCAATTAAATTGAGTAAAAATATCGTCAATATCTTTGTGGCTTAAGTTATTTTCAATGATAACTTAGCTTCAATGTTACCTTTTATTGTACTAAAAGCCGGTTATCCGAAAAATATTAACGTGGCTCTAATTCAGCTGTTCCACTTATTACTATTATATCCAAAAGACATTTGTACAATCCAGATAAGTAATTACAAATATTTAAATCATATTCTGTAATTGGGACCAATCACTCAATGATATTCGTGAGAAATCAAAATAACAGGCTTAATTGTAGATGAACTACTATACATGTATTTGATGGAAACATACTCCTTACTACTAAATGAGGGTTAACTACCTCATCCAAAAATCATTTTTTATTCTGCTCGAAGAAATAAGCTGTTATTTCCGAGTAGAGAATATTTCAGTAGAATTTAGTTACATCGAAATAATTCATGACATCTTTTGGGAATGAAGTATCATAGTAAACAGTATTGTGTGTTTATTCAGGCATAACGGTATTCAATTTTAGGAGAATGAAAAATGGATATTACAGTACGACTAAGGATAAGTGAAATGAAAGAAACAGAGTTGAGTAAAGGAAGACGTTATTTATAATGTTTTTACTTATGAAACACAACAAAATATTGCTTTTACGTATTGTTCGTCCCAACTAGCTTTTAACTTATAGTCAGTGACGTTTAGAGCTCAGCAAATTCATTATCATAAAGGATCACGGAAGAAACAGGTTGATAGTGGATGGAATCTGACATTATACAGAATCAGTTTTAAGAATCCACACTTAAAATAGTCGGCCTCTTATACTTTGTGACTAGGTAGAACTATTATTTAGCGTGGTTTTTTTGGCATCCATTCATGACGCCTTCTTTGTTGATCTAACAATAAGACTTTTGGATATTCATTTCAATACAAGTGATTCATGAAATTGAATAGTTATTCACCGGTTGGCGATTCGGTAGTTGTTATCATTTTGTTATTAAAGGTATATCCAATATATGTATTCAAAATGAAATTATTTGGAAAGCGAACAGAATATAAAACAACGTACCAGCACTGACAGTAATCGCTTCAATGAACTGTTCTTTCCAAGATGATGTACCAACCACCAAGGCCAGTGTCCCTTGTTTAACTAACCTGTCGACAGTGTTCTGAAAAAGATAGATAAACCGATTCGTAACTAAACTTTGTATGAAAACAGTAATACCGTTCTAGTTAATGTTACTAAAAATTATTGGGGTATGTGGAAACTTCTGTGGAGTTAAACAAATCGACATTCTTTTATGTAAAGTTAAACTGAGTAGCACTTATAGTATGATTGATTTCGTATTTTAAGTTAAAAAATATTACTTGTCAGATAAGCCAACCAGTACCGCATTTTGCAAATAAATCAAATACCAAGTCATATATTGCGTTATGATTGTCTAAAACATTGAACATAAAGATGTTTAGCAATAATGAAAAATGTATATCTGTCCAATGTATCAGAATCATTTCCAAAACTGAAGTACTATTTGTTTGGTTAACCATTTAAATAAAATATTTAGTATTTCTACAAAAGTGCGATGGGGAAATAACTCAGTTTTGTAGGGGTGATTATTTAATTCAGTGTCATGGTTAACGCAATTCACTTTCTGATTATAGGTTCTTGTATGCATATCGAAGATAAAAGGTCAACATAAGGACTATTGATATCATCAAGATGTTTACAGACTGATGGCTCATTGATGTTTGGTTGAAAAGAAGGCGAACAAAGCTTAATTTGGTTAAAAAATTACATCATATGAACTGTACGTTGACGACCATTATTTATTTTTATTCACATGATAAGTTATCATTTTACTGGTAGGCAACCATGATGTTTCAGGCGCTTTTTCTATAAAAATGTAAACCAAAACTTCAAATTTACCTACAGCACTAGCTAAGTGAATGGGGATAAGGACGTTAACTAATGTTTTTTCATTGCTCGAAGTTTCTTAAACATACACACCTAAGTGTTTCTGAATAGTTCAAGAAAGCTATTTTACGTTTTCCATCTTGTATGAAACTAATAGACTATTAAGGTGAAATTTATCATTAAACATTAACAGTGTGGTAGATTTCTCAAAGTTCTAGTAAAATGTTCTAAGTAGTAAGGTTAACGCACTTGTAAATAAACCAGTAGGTCAATAGTAAAGTTTACTGTGAATCCATTTATATGACACCGTTACTGAGACTGAAAATACTTGATATTTAGCTCTGGCTTACGAGTTAGCCGATCGCTGGTGAAATATGAACTATGCCTTTAATTATACATTAATTTTGTTGGTTTATTCATATGATCCAAACATTGACAATAATATATTGTAGGATCCATTGACAGTAATATATCAAATCCAATTATTATTGTTAATTATTAACAAGAAAATGAACTTCAAACAGTTTGAAATAGAAAATGTTATCTAACAATGTCATTATATTATTAGTCATTTAAAATAATGATACAACAGCTAAGTGAATTTATGGCCGTATTGCTTGTGTAAATAATACTATCTGTAAAAAAAAGTGACTTTGTAATTAAGTAATAAAAAAATGGAATAAATTTACAAACAGTTTTGTAGGACAACATTTTGATTATTTAAAGTACAGTGTCCTCATCACTTTTTTGAAACATTAAAAAAAGAGCGAATTCGTGGGTAATATCCACCTCCGCCAGAAATAAACATTAGAAAGCACAAGAATCAAAGTAAATAAACTACGGTTTTCTTTGTTTTTCTTTTCCCTTTTTTTATTTACTTATTTATTTAATCTAACGTTGTTACTAAAACGAACAAAGGTGAATTAAATAATTTGAGGTAAATTGTAAGTGGAATAAATAAATCCTCTACTAAATATATACTGATTTTACTCGTATATCATGTTTGTAATGGACGGCCTATGCTTCTCCACGAGGGGTAACAGGCGTAAGTAAGTAATCATTTTTGTAAATAAAAAAAGCAGACTAATAACACTAAATATTTAGTTTAAATATGACGCTTACAAGGAATCGTATTCATATAGAGTATAGCATAAAGATGTTTTCAGAACAAATTTAGGTCAAGAATGTACTAGTGCGGTTGTACTGCCGATGTTTTCATATACAGTAGTAGTTTATAATATTGACACGACTACTAAATAATAACGAATAATGAGTACGTCGGTTCTAATGTAGATGACAACTTTTATTTTTGAAAAAATCACGAAATATTCCTAAATAACAGGGATCAAGCAACATAGTAATATTTGTTTATTTAACATCCGTCTTCTTGTTTCTTTAGTTAAGTTGCCTAACCCTAAATTTTAAACACTATAGAATGGACAATAAATGTTAACATTATTTAACTTAATTTCCTCAAGGATACATTGAAATGGAACATTTGCTATGCATAGCAAATTATTATGAAAATCAGTTATTTTTGAAAAATAAAATATAAAAACTACTTGTTCATTCATGGAATTGTCCAACGTGAAGAGGAATCAATATGAGTTCTATGATTATGATGATATTATTCGATGTTTATTTGCGTAATCTCATATTTTTATTTGGCAATAAATTTGACTGTTATTTTGAAGGAGTCAATGAATTTGTCTAGCATTACATCTGAGCAATTCTCCTTTAGAATATGTTGTAATATTTAAACTATAATATGAGTCTGACTGGTGAAGTCATTAAACTCTTGACAAACTTTATATTACTCTAGAACGATAACATTATAAATTCGATAGTAAATCACAGAAAATAATTTGTAAAATCAAATTTCGTGTTTAAATAAATACTGATGGATGATATACATTTAGAAGGGGTTTTGTGGAGATTTCAGTATTTTAATAGTTGAAATCATGAGTCAATCGGAGCTAGACCGCCATGGAAAACCTGGAAACACTGGACGGCCATTTCGTCCTATTGTGGGACTCTCCAGTAATGTGTATTCACGATCCCGCCTCGCGTGATTCAGTCACTAGTGACTAACTTCAAGAGATGTTTCCTGGAGTTCTAGTGGGAAGCAGTGATCAGTGGAGTTCAACCACGTCTGTTATGAGATATCAACTCACTGAAGAGAATTGGTGAACGGTTACTCAAACTTCGTGGACTGGTTGAAGTTAGACATTAACATCGTTGGATGCCGGTTCAGTGGTCTATCGGTTAAGTACTCTGGCGCGAGACTGGTAGATCCTGGGTTCGAATCTCGCAAGGAGGGGTCGTGGATATACATTTAATTATAAGTAGTCATATTAGATGATACATATTATTATCCAGTTTAATAAACGTTACCTTTTCTTAAAAATATGTTATTATATTCACAAAAAAATATGGTACAGTGTACATATTCTTAACTGTTAATGAAAACACTAAAATTATTTTTCTTACAAATTAAAATCTATAGATTAACAATAAAGTACATCATAGAAATAGGAGAAAAAATGAAAATGAAAAAAACGATACATGATTGACATATGTTCATCATATTGTAGTATTTAAGTTATAGAAAAAACAAGATATATTAAAAGTGCAAATAATTTCAACAATATGAAATTTAATTAAAAAAACAAACACTTTTAAATTCACTTAGTATTGTTTGTTTGAATCTTGCAATTGATGTTTAGGACTGCAACTGGTTAGTCTCTAATTGCCATATGTGCATACCATGCGTATCGTCTCGATATAGCCTTAATTCACGAGCATTGTAAACAAAGATGGATAGTGGCTAGCAGTGGAATTCAGGACGCGCGTTTCGTCTTTAAAATGCTTGTGAATTTAGGTTATATCGAGACAATACGCACCGTATGCATATATGTCAATAAGAGACTGACCAGTTTCAGTCCTAAAAATCAATGGGAAGATTCAAACAAACAACACTAAGTGAATTTAAATTTCACCCCATCGCACAAGCAAGTGGTTATCAGGACTCAGTGGCCGAGTGGATAACGCGATAGCGTTTGAAGCGAAAAGTACTGGGTTCGAGTCCCAGAGTGAACATCAACTCTGAGATGCAGGTACATCCAGCTGACGAGTCCCAAATAGGACGAAACGCGCGTTCTGGATTCCATTGCTAGCCACTATCCATCTTTGCTAACAAACACATTTGTTAAAAATTAACGCCATTAGTTTGTTAATATTTTCTGTTTTTTTTTCTTCAACTTCTTATTCAATAGTAGTAATGCGAATTTGTCAAAAATAAATCATTTTAGTGCATTTCAGTAAAACTATGATATAATTAAAAAACACTATTTATAGATTACTTTAATAAAGGTTATTACAGTATAAGGTTGTGGAGATTGCTAATTTTTTTTGGTTGAGATCATGAATAGATTGATGTTAGACGACCAATGAAAACATGGAAACACTGGATGGTTGTCTAGTGATATATAAGGTATTTTCAATAGATTACATAACTGTAGTTGGTATGAACTAATACAATAACATATATGAAAGGGAAATCAGATGTATAGTACGAAAGGGGAATGTTTTTGTATTGGACATCCACACGTTTTATTTTATTCTGATTGCTTAATGTATTTAGGTCGATGTACAATTATACAGATACAAAGTATTGAACCTTGATGCGGAAATAGTTGAAACTGGTGGAGATAATTTATGTTATATTTTTGATTTAGTCAGTAAATGAAATGAAGTTTCCTTTATATTGACTGTTTGTCTAGATAATAAAGTATTTGTTAAAGTTAATGTGGTAAATTTACAACATATTAATTACTACATTTATTTGTTATGTTGTTAACTTATCAGTAACATAATATGACTGTCGTTCCACAACCTAACCTGAATAAAGGAATTTTTGACTTGTGAAAATATTCTATAATCTATTCTAATAAATAACTTAGTGTTCAGTTTCAAGAATACAGAAATAATTATTGAAGAACTCATTTTTGTCACACATAGTTGATTAGATTGCTTGAAATTATTATTAAAACAGTACTTTTCTAAGTTGCTACAAGTTGAAGATTTAAGTCATTTCACTCCACATTCAGTACCTAGTGGCTTGTACACTACAGGTATGAACATTTCAACATTGAATGAGGACTAACTACGCCTATCTTAAGTATTGTTTATCGTTGTAATTCAAAGTGTACACTTATATGTATTCCGGTTATAAATAACTTGTCGTTCAGGATCTCAGTACTGACAACTAGTTCAAACAACCAGTAAGAAGGTATATGCTACAAAAAGATCATTTACAGATACAGCTTGATCAGTTTGGCTCGGAACTGGCATTTGTTTTTAGATAGCATATATCTTAACTTGGTATTTAATTAGATAACCTTGGGAAGTAGGGATTGATGATTTGGCTTTGACGGTATAAAGAAAACTATAGTATACAACATCGATGGGTTTCATATTTAAAAGAAAGTCTCCCGAAATTCGCTATTGGTTTCTATAGAACTCAATTAATTATTGTTTTTAGCATCATTTTCTCTATACGTATTTGGATTATTTGTGTAACAACAGAGCGAGAAGACCTTTCATTTACTGTTCAACATGGTTCCAAAAGCATAAAAAATATATTTTTTCAAAATCAATAACTAGTACCAAAGTTTGTGAGTAACACTACTGACAAAAATTGTATATTGACTAGAAACTTTTATTACTCATGCAAAAATCTGAAAGAAAAGAGTTTAAACACTTTTGTTCTGTGATTTACCAAATTTCTTTATAAGCTTGTATATATGTAGTAAAATGAATTATGACATGCGAATATATATTCAAGCGATAGTTATGGAGCATTTGAGATAAACGTTTGAGTTTTTCTGTTAGAAATAATTCAATCTAAATTATTTTACATCTAAATATTGGACTAATGCAATACTGGTGTTAATTACATTTTATTGATTCGGACAATAATTTATTCACTCTCTCACTACTTATTCTGTCAACTAACTAACTACTGATACATATATATGATTGTTCGCTACGTCAATCCTTCAAAATAGAACGCAACGATTAATAATTATTTTAAGTAGTCATTTATTATTGTCATAAAAAAATAAACTGTAAGCTAATTACATTATATTTTCAAAAAGAATTACATATATCACATAAATTTTTATGTCTAACTAGCTAGTGAAAGAGTTGACTAACTAATATGGATTTAGACAACTTGTCAAATCTAACCAGAGGATTTTTATAGTTTCTAATTCTTGCTTTCAACGCTCAGCATCCAGTTTTCAATAATGGAACATTCAGTTGTAATTAAAGTTAAATTAATTTTGATATGACTTCACAATTGGAAACACAGTCAATATATACCAGCCTTTTACTAAAAGCAAAGGCATAAATTTCGATTTTCATTTGGTAAGTGATATTTGTTGGAAATTGGTGATCTAGTAAGTTAATACTAAATGTCTGAAATGTTAATTATCTCGTAATATTTCATTGAGAAGATAAGTAAAACGTCATTGCTGCGAGATTTACATCTTCCGCTTAACAAATATAACATCAGCTATAAGTAATTCATTGCTATTTAAAATATAAACTTTAGTAATATAAATACGCACCGGACTAAAGTATGTCGAATAATGGTTTATGACGTTGTTCCTATTATGTTACCGAAGAATCATGATACTAACGTGATATTATGTCAACTTTCTGAGCATCATAGCATTTCAAAACTTTACAAATGTTAGTGTTTGTTGTTTGATATGAAAAACTGCATTTACAGTTCCAATGAAATCGATAGAAATATTTACATAGACAATATATCAGATGAGGCTTAGCTCCATAGCGGATAAGAGTGAAATTCAGGACATATGTTGATATTCACACAACGACGCGAGTTTAGTATCCTTCGCCACAAAAGTGAAACGCATTATCTTTATAGGCCAGACAGCCAATGGCTTGTGACATCGGGTAAATTTTATTTCACTTGTAAAGGTTATTTCAATCTTTAAGTTGTTAGTGTTAAGGAGTGATTCGTTTTCTTTAGCAAATCGGTTCCTGCTATCATTGCCTCGATTTCGTAGTTAATCCACCAATATTTTAAGTAGAGTTGAAGCAGAGGTTACTGTGTTAGAGTCCTGGTATGAGTATCAACACTGAGGTGTATGCTTATTCACCTGAACAGTCTTGAATACAACGAAGTATGAATAGCGAATTTCCATGCTAGCCACTGTTGTAATCTGCTCCTAATGCTTGTAGCTTGAAATTGATTTCGAGGCGATCCACAAAGGATGTACAATTGCTGAAAGAGACTGATCAGTACCAGTACTCAACATCAAGAAGTTGAAGATTCAAACAACCCTTACAAATAAATAAAATTTATCATTCTATTGAAACATTTTATTAATAAGTGAAACAACAGTAGCTTCCTTTTCGTCAAAAATCAATTGCAATGAGTTTAAGCAATTGATTATGCAAACAACTTATTCAAAAAATGAATGATCATTGCACGTTAAACATTCACCTTAAACTTTATAAAGGCAGCTTTATTATAAAAAAAGGTAAAAGATATAAACGTTTTGTTGACAGTCCCATAAAATCGAACTGCATTTAACTAACCTTGAATTCTGTACTTTCTGTAATTGTAATCTTAATTCTTGTTTGTTGGCCTAATCGTGGTTGGCCAGTTTCTACGAAACCAAGAGATTTACGTGGATTGAGATTTCCATCTTTAGTACTAGGTGTTCGTGAATTACGCCTTTTCATTGAACTATTACCACTTATTAAACTATCTGATCGTTGAGCAATGCGGGCAAATAAATGACTTGGAACTGGAATTAGAGGAAAAGAAAATTTACGAAATATTGTTGGTGCTAATTTAAAAAAGGATAAATTAATGGTTTTTTGTATAATCCTTGGTGTGTGTGTGTTTGATTGTTATTTAAAGATAAGTAGGAGCTTGAAATACTTTCGTATGAGGATGATATAAGTAGCACCTAGGGAAAACAATATGAATAGGTAATACCTTGGTATTTATGTTTTTTATCCAAAAACAGATTTATTATGATTTTCCTTTATTAAATTCTGTCAAACACAAATGAACTTCTATTATAAGTTACATATATGTATGTCAATCCATAAAAATAAACATCCTTTAAAAGGAAGAGACTATGGACATAAATGTATGATTCAGAAAACTGCGTATTACTAAATAACAAAGCATTTACTTTAAAAGTGTTTTACTGCAATATGGAGTAATATGTTTGTTGTTGACAGATCCCAAAGATTCCTTAATACAGAAAGACGTTTTTAGTAGGAAAATTAGAAAAGTTTTTAATTAAAAAATTCGCTTCAAGCTAAATTTATGGTTTCTAAATAATCGTTATATATATTAGTGATGATAATCTGTAACAGGGAGAATTATTTCCAATAATAAAGCTTACTTTTATTCAAACCAGGTTTCTACTATATTTCTAAACAGTATTTAATTCATTAACAACAATCTTTCTCTGACTATACTGGAGAAATAGGTTTACTTAAAGATTGTTCCAAATACCAAGCACAGGAATCAAATATTGTTCATAAGCTAGAATATTAAATAATCAGTGCCTTTAGCGAATTATCCAAAGTAGAATGGTGCTATGGTCTAAAAGGACGAGACTGTTTCCTGATTTAAGTTACCGCAGCTTAAAAAACATAAAACTCTGACTACTGGCAAGTAGTTTTACTAAACCGGCATTGAACATTAGCAGACTATTTTATTATCAATGAATAAATTGGTAGATTCGTTAATTATACTTGTAAAACGCACCAATATTATCATACATCGATAATGAAGCTGTTAAATGTGTCCAGATAATTTGCATTACCCTAGTTATTATGAACGCTTAGTAGGAAACAAACATGTGATTTTTTTATTACATAAAATAAACATTACAGAAAAGAATAAGAAACAATACTAACAAGCGTCATTGCAGTGCTAATAAGAGAAAAAAAGTGTAAATGGTTTACAATAACACAATGACAAATAGTGTACATCAGGAATCGCATTGTAGAATAACGAATAAATAGTATATATTTTATTCATCGGAATATCTTCATGTTTCTGAACAATCAAGTTGAAGTAGTAGTAATATTATATTTTTAGTTATTTGTTGAAAGATAAAGTTTTAATTTGTCTATTGTGATGCTTGAATACGGAGAGCCCATTAGTTATCTAATAAGTTATTGTGTTAACTGATACAATCCGTTGAGTAGTAAAGAATCTTATCAGACTTATTTCGTAAGTCTTTGGTAGAAATAGGTTAACAATTAAGACTTGTGCAAATATAAGTAGATTATTCCTCAATAATTCATTGGGATCTAGAATTTCTGAGACCTATATCCGGCGACGGCCTTTGCTCCTCCACGAGGGATGACAGTCGTAAGTAAGTAACTATGTTAGTCAATGAAACTATTTAAAACAAAAGTCGTAAAATTTTACGTTGATAATTAAAACAGTTTTCTTACAAATGTAACAAACCCAATGATATATGATTTAGAATTGACATGTTTAAGTAGAATATATCTGTAGATATATGTTAAGATATTTGTCAAACAATTAAAATGTTCTTTATAAAAATTCAATTTATCAACATGTAATGATGAGTAAAGAGAAAAACATTTCGAATTACAATCTAATCGGAAATGAAAATCATATAATTACATGCAACAATTAATACGGTGTTACTTTAAGAACTTCGGATTCAATTCTAAAACATATATATATATATATATATATATATATATATATATAATTTCTTCGTTTATGTAACCATTTGTAAGCATATCAGTTGAGAAAAAATATAAATATGACTTTCTTTTTCACTAAAATGTATCTATATGTGCGTTTACAATTTACAAAAAAATAATATGGACAGTGCAAAATAAAACAAAATCAGATGAAGGTTACTATCGAGTAAGAAAAGCTGATTTTCTGCAGTTAATTCAGAACACATGCAATAAGTTTTTTCTCAATAAAAAGATCAACAAACGGTGAGGACAACAGAAACACACAATAAGGATAAGTGATTTCTCAGAGTAAAGTTAAACATGCAAATTATTAAATATTATCAAAAAGGAAAACTAGTTATAACTGTTATAATTCGGATTAACTCAGTGTGTATGTGTGTGTATAAATGAAAATGTTTGTGCATATCTAGGAAAAACAAACATAATTCAACAAGTAAAAGAAGGAAAAGATTTCTAACATACAAATAAGTGTTATTTAAAAGGTAAACTATCTAAAAAAATGATGACTTGTAGAAAACAAGTGCTTTGTTTAATCTGTGCATAAGTGTTGTGTAAATATGACTTAAAAAATGTACAGTAGGAAAACACACAACTACTAGTGAAGGATTATGGATATTTCAAATTAAAGCTTACTTGTTTCCCATTCATTTATAGCTACGTATTGGATTTTTGAAGAAAAAATATCGATATTGTGTTAGATGAAATAAAATGAGATATAATGTTGTTGATGTTATAAACTGTGACGACTTCAGCTTCAAATGTGTATTACACATTTTAGTGAGGATATAGTCAAACAGTTAGTAAATTTCTTTTCAACAATGAAAATCAGAATCAAACTAAGCAAATCGTATATTACTCATTAAAAATATTCAACAATATAATAAGAGGTAATATTTAAATTATATAATTTTATTACATTCAGAAATGTCTATTTCAGAAAATGCGAATATGGAAGTTACGCACAAATTAGTTACGTAATTTAGTTTAAGCAAACCAAAATTGATTTCACAATAATTCAGACTGTTATATACTTTAAGAATCACAACAAACTAATGCAATAAGACAGTGTCAAACAATTTCATGTTAATTAAAATATGCTTGAAAAAAAACATAAAACATTAATTTCAAAAATATATAATTAACTTTTAAAGTTAAGTAAAATTGAGAAGATAATATTATATTTTAAATGGATTGATCTGAAATGATTAAACAGATAGTTTATCAAAATTTAACCGAAATATCGATAATTTGTATTACTAACTAGTAATGGGTAAATAGTCTTAGCACAGTTGCATAGTATAACGTATGCGTACTCAATGACTCCAAACGAATCTTTCAGAATAGTTATAGAGTATGAGAACTAATGAGATTGAAATCCATTTAAAAACTTCAATCAGGTTGGAACATTATAAGATTATCAATCAGTGTTATAAATGAGAATTGATTTACTGTTTGACACATGTGATTATTTACTGAAGAAGAGTCTTTTTTAAAAGGGGATAAATGTACATTATTCCCTAACTTTCAGTGCTTCTCCAGTTGATTTCATTTTCTTTGCAAAAAATACAACGTTTTGAAATGTTTGACGGTAATTGTTATGTTGACATACAAACATGCTGAATCAATCGAGTGGTTCATAATCTACTGTTTAACAGTTTCAACCCTTTTGTTTTGACAGTTGTTTACGGAAAAACAAAACAGAACTTCCTCAGTTATTGTTTAACTTTATCTTGAACATATTCGAGATATTGTTTGAAAGAATCCTGCAATAAAAAAGGTACCTACTCACTTTTGTTGAATTCAGATATTCTATGCAATCATATTATTACATAGCCAATCAATAGTGGAAGATTATAAAGGATTGGACTCGATTCAGTAATTTCTTCGACAAATAAACTACGTTTTCTAAAGTGTTTTACATACCCTTCAAAAAGTAGAATTTGGTCCTCATTAAGTTATAATATTCAAATTATTTAAACGGTTAACAAGTTGAAATGGTATTTATGGTTAATTATTCCTAGCTTTTTTATTGAATTGTGACAGGTTATTGGACATCTCTGTCCATATTTCATGCAGTAAACTGAACTTTCCGCTCTTAATCACAAAGCATTTTACTCTTAGCAGTTTGATGCTCTAAATATTTTCTAAATTTCCGCTTAAAATTTTCTTTCAGTTTCAATACAGGAAAATGCAAACCTTGATATATATTTGTGCACTTTCGTGTTAACAGAGTACAATCAATTCTTGTCCCAAACGTACAAATTATAGATATTGTACTGACAAATCTCTTGCTTTAGTAGAACGTTTCGCCTGACTTCTTTTGCATTTAGGCTTTATAAGTAATAAAATATTTACATTACCTTTATGTCGATTGCGATGCATATATTTTAGCGTACATTTTATGGAAAAGATATTTTTCTAATCGAAGTTACAACCAATTTCGAAAGCTGATATATAAAGTTGGTATTTATATTTCACTTATTAGAGAGAAATATGAATGGTAACTTTTGGGGACTATTTACGGACAAATGTGATACTCATATTTCCTATTGTATAATTGTTGAGTAACTAAACTATTCATATTAGCATCCCTCTTGTTCTAAACTTTATTTTGATCCATGAACTATTTTTATATGATTTACCATTCTTGAGTTATCCCTAGTCTATTAATTACTGTTCCCCATATTCACAGCCACATTTCGCTGAATCTTGTACAAATGTTATTTTGTATTTAATGGTACTATGTGATCAGTGTGATTGGTATATAAAGTCAGTATGTTTGAAATATAACGATTCATACCGCAGAGGTTGTTATTGGAGTTCTGGACTTAACTGGCTAGGCTAGGCAGAATGCATAACCAACAAGTGCTCTAGACTGCTCGTACACATTTCGTGTGTCATTGGTCCTATCGATAATTCGCTGCTCTCTAATTGGTGGTCCTATCATGTCATAAATAACCTGGGCACTCAGGCCACAAGTTACAACACTTATCAAAAGAAGATCAGTAACTAGGTAAAAGCTAGAGAAGAGTGCTTAGGA